GTTTAATTTTGATGATTTGTAATCATCAAAATTAAACAAAATAAACATCTGAAATATATGAGTTTGTATGTAATGTATGAATATAATATACAAGTTTCACTTTTTAAATGGAATTACTGAAATCAATCTACTTTTTCATGATATTCTAATTTTATGACCAGCACCTGTATTCTGCCACTCTGCAGAGTCTCCTAGTTCAATCTGTAACGTTCTGCTCTCTCTGCTTTTTCTCATAGTAGCTTCATCTGGTCTGTTCCTGTTTGGCTGTGACTCCATCCTGAAGAGAAATATTAGCTGTGCTGCTGCCATTAACACCTTTGTTTATAGATGCTGGAGATCTGCCTGTTTTCCAGTGTAGTCCTGTTTCTCTGACTGTGACTGGCTGGATGTGCTCTCTTCATCTTCTGACATGGTAGTTGGCTCGGAGCTCATCTGCCTGGCTGTGTGTTTCCTGGATGGGGCCGCCTTTTACAGCTGCTTTTTGAGTCTCTACTTCTGTCTCCTTGAACCCCATACTGGATGATCTGGTGAACTATGAAGTGCCTTGAGATGACATATGTTGTGAATTGGCGCTAAATAAACTATAAATAAACTGAATTATATTGAATGATAGTTCTGTTTGGTCCAAAGGGTGAAGCTGCATCTTCAGATTTTTTTTTTCTTTTCGCTATTTTAGGTCGCTGATGAACCGATGCCTAAATACAAAAAGTGACAACCATCTGGCTAAATTGAGATTTATGGCTTTGTTGACGCAAGCAACAAACATTAGGAACTACACACTGATATTAGTTGATAAGAGGGATGATTGCATTCTGTACAATAGTAATGAAGTTGCAAACCTTGCATGATATTTGTCCGTCCCGATAGAGCCAGAGCTGCTCAGCCCCGCCCGTCTCCTCCACAGCCTGGACCCTCATCAGTTTGATGTCATCCAGCGTTCCAGTCAGGGACATCAAAAATCCTGTCTCCCTGTTCCGTAGACGGAAATACATCGGCTTCTGCTGGAGGGAAACATGCCAATAACTAGGCTGCATATGTCTACACCCTGTAATTATACTTAACAAACGATAAGTATTCTCTCATTAATATTTGGAATTACATTAATTATTAACTGAGCCATGCGCTATGCACTGAATCATCTCTTAACCTCTGATAGTGTGTCACATCAGATTTATCAGTATCTCTATATGTGGCATTTCTTTAACCGCAGTTTCTGACCGCATATTACGGTACTTCTTTCATACCTGCATGAGCGGACGGAGAGAGCCTATCCGCTGCCACCCGCTGTTCTTGCAAAAGTCGTGCACTTTACCTGGATGCAAAAACAGCTGTCGGCCTCTGTAGTTGTTATCCTCATACAGCACCCACCTATAGAGAATGTCAAGACATTTGGGATTTGTATAAATATATTTATTATTAAGTACTGTTCCAAGTTCACTACATGTGTCCGACTGGACATGTCAGCTTTTTTAGACTAAAAATTTGTGCTGATGTTTTGAAATTCTCAAAAATGTATCAAATATGAGACACTTAACGTTAAATGGTTAAGGATGTATCAAAGGAAGCAAGGAAGAAAGAGAGGACACAGGACAAAACGCAAAGAACTAGGCCAGAAGGAAGGATACTACCATACAAAGAGGAAAAAAAGGAAAGACAAAAGGAAATATTGAAAGAAAGAGGGGCATAAAGGAAACACAAATGGAAGGAATGATGACAAAAGTAAATTAGGAGGAAAAGACAGGGAAGTAGAATGTATGGTAACCCTCACGGTAGGAAAAAAAAAGACGCAAAGAAGAAAGGAATCATATAAGGTAGGAGAGGAGGGAGGGGGAGAAGGAATGACATGAGCAAAAATGAGGGAGGGAAGAACTGAATGCAGAACAGAAGGAAGGATCTAATAGTTTAAAAATGCTTGAGGTCTGAAAAAATAAATTTTCCCAACTCTCTTCTTTTAATCCATATTCATGCAGACATGGAAAATATTGGAACATTTTAATCCAGACTACACCGATTCATTTAGGGATATGCACCAACAGGTTTGACTTACATTCCTCCCTCCACCACTAGGGAGCGTATACGAGCATCCATGCCTCCATGCTGCAAATTTACAGTTCCGCTCGTCAAAGCAATTCTGCGACCTCTGCAGTCAACTTTATTAAACAAGACGATATAGGGCAGGGAAAATGCCTAAAGAGGAAGAATGTTTACTTCACAAACACTGCTTGCGACACATTGACTAACTCCTCACCTCAAATCAAAGAGGATACTCACATGCCCGGTTGTCTGCAGTGATCGAAGGACACAGTCTGATGACATGAGGCCCATGGCGTCTGTGTTAGGGTACTCTCCTTCCTCCAGGACGTACATGTTCCCTTTAAACATCGCTTCCTCATATGCCACCCAGCTGACACACAAAACACAGATTTATTTAGTTCTATGATCATGTTTAAGTTTTGTTACATCTAACTGTCCACTGAAAACGTCATGGAAGGAACCCAAAATAAAATAAGATTTTTCTAAAAATTAAAAAAACTTATTAACACTTATTTTAAACTGATCACTGCAAACAACTGAGTAAACGACAACTATTGCAACTATTGCCGAAAATGTAAAGATCCGCTTTAAAGCAATGTTTGTTTGGCAGTCTATGACAACTAGGCAGACAAAGTGATGTGGAGGAGGCTGTAAAGCTTTTGGAGATAAATTACACAACAATTCTGATAAATGTTTGTAATTCATGTATTCCCTAAATTATTTTAACATTTACCTGCCAGCCATCACTTTACAGGACTTTGGAGTGAAATCCCCATCCAGGTCATCTTTACTGTCCTCCAGCGCCAGCAGCCTCCCCTGAAAGTCTGGTTCAGAAAACAGCTGAACCTGCAACGCACATTTACAGCCTTAGAAACGGAAGCAGAATAAAACACCCCAAGACTTTCCATGATGCCATTTTAATGAAAAGATGTAAATGAAGATATAATACCTTAAACTTTGGAGTTCCCATCAGCATGTCCTGCAGAATAAAAGAGGGAAATCTTAGAGAATTCTGTTGAAAATAACAATAGTGAAAACTGTTAAACTAGAGCCGAACAGATCCTTACATGAAAGACTGGCTGTATGGATGAAATCCTGAAGTTCTGTGCCCCCCAGTCCTCAGGACAGGAGTACATACCCTTCTCCAGAACATAGACCTCTCCACTGAACCCCGGCTGTTCAAACGCCAACCAGCTGCAGTTTACCCAAATCAGATACAGTCAGTTATACAATAACTAAACACATTCAAAAGCATAGAAACATCAAACATAGCTCATGGATCTGTAAAGTTTTGTGTATTTTGCAGATAGCATCAGCTATTTTAAATGTTAATGCAGTTTTTGAGTATAAACTGTACATGGGCGGTTTTAGACAGGGGCCAATGGGGGCCAGTGCCCCTGTAGATCATGTCCTGGCCCCTGTTATGGCCCCTGCACTGAAGACATAATACTCAAAGAAATTCTAATGATGCGCTGGAACAGACATGGTTACTGATAGGTCCTTTGGATCTATATAATTTCTTATTTTTTCTTTAAAAATTATGTTTAACTAATTGTTTAAAAACAATAAGGGGATAGCTTCAGTGGTATTGAGATAGGATCCCAGTTTTCATCTGCTAAATGTTGTTTTCAAAACAAATTTAAAAAATGCTCCAATTTTTACAGCTGCATTTATAGTTTTTTCTTGATTTCTTATTCTGATTCTATAGACAACGGTCATTTTAACTTAAATAAAGCCCAAAATATGTTAAATTCCTAAATTATGAATGTATATTGCCCTAATAAGAAATATAATTTTAATTAAACATAACTGAATATAAATTTCACTTCATGTAGCTCTCTTAATATATTGAAACCCCTTGCCCTGTTTTTTATTTCATGCTTTTCTGTGCCCCCATGAAAACACGCTGGCCCCCTCCTGGCTCCCTGGTACATTTGGTCTTGAACCGCCACTGAAGCTGTAGGGATTGGATTGGTTCACTTAATGAATCTCTGCCTGTACTGCAAAACTAACATCATAAAAAGCAGCACTGAGTTGTTCTAAGAGGCGAGGCAGCTGCAAAGCAAACAGGAATATAGAGAATTGTTTAAACAGATCAAAGCTGCTCATTGGGACAGTAACAGAAACAGCACACCTGAGATATAGTAAACCAAAACAGTGTTCTGACAATAAAATAAATAACGATCTTCTTGGAAAAGTTCCCTCCCTCAAATATTGAGGTAGTATCTCCTCTTTAGTGCTTCTAGGGAGGTAGAAAAACTCCCCTTTAGGGAAGGATTATAGAAAACGGTGTTTTGGTGACAAAGTATAGACAAATCTGGCCAAGAGATTCTTAAAATATGGCAAAATTATGAAAGAATTAAAAATATAACAATTGCGAGCCAGTCAGCGTTCGCCGCTGGCTGGTTTAGGATTAATGAAATAAACTATAAAGCATTCAATTAATAAAGACAATCAGCTACAGAGGTGGCATTGATTAGATAAAAGAACATAAAGCTGCTGCAAACAGCTGAATGCAGTGTCTCTCCTCCAAACACACTCCTCTGAAATGGAAAAATAAAAAGCATAACATGGGGCTACAAAATGCAATGCTTTTTTTTATTATTTTCCTGTAAAACAATTGTTCATAATTGTATCTAAGCATTTTTAAAGGTTTTACATTTTTATAATTTCACAGATGAAATAACTGAAGCAGCATCAGGTCCACAGGACATTGTGTGTCTCCAGTGAAAATATATCCGCCTTTAGGGAACATCCAGAGTTTTTTAATTGTTCATATAATCTGCCTCATTATTTGTAAAAAATCAATGCCTCTGAGGCTGTCTGAGTGACTAGGTGTGTATGTTTTTTGTGGCCTTTCATGCAGGCTTTAGACCCGACACGCCCAAATCCCTCAAAGTACACAGAGGACACCGTGTCCTGCCTGAGCCTAACTTTACCCAGCTGTAATTTAACAGAAACTGGTTGACTTACACTCCTGCAGTGATGATGATTGACTGGGTTTTGGTGCTGTGGCCGACATCCTCCATGCTAATGACAGGACCCACCAGGTTTGTATGAATCCCGCGCTCATTGAAGTCAGGCTCCTTGAACATCTTCAGGTGAGGGGACAGGAAATCCTAGGAGAGAGCATAACAAAGAATTATACATATAAAAAAATACATTTCAAATGTAAAAATGAACCAATATAAAAATTTAGGTGATGTATTTGATGCTTACTCCAAGTACAGGTCGTAGGGACAGTAGCCCGTCCTCAGATCCTCCCCACTCACTGCACTGAGGATATTCACCCTCTTCCAGGATGTACTGCTGACCTTCAAAGTCTGCATCCTGATATCCAACCCAGCTTCAAGAATCAAACAGAAACATCTTATAAATATCTATAGTAAACTTCACCTTAAATTCTAGAGTAAAATGACTGGTTTCCATTTTTAAATGGCACTTACAGACCACCAAGTATCTTTACTGATCCCACTGAACTAAGAGTTGTGTTCTTCCCGCCTGTTTGTTGTTGTTCCAGCAAGTTGTAGACATCTCCATCCAAATCCAAACACTGTCCTTCAAAGTTGGGCTTCTCAAAAACAAGAGCCTGAAGTAAAGAACAGTCTGTTAAATCTGTGTAACAGTTAGTGGTTTTTGGTTCATTCCTATCTGATGTAGAAATGCTGTTGCTCCCATCTGTTAGAGCTAAAAAATTCATTATATCTTGTTTTATATTTCTCGTTCTCCATATCACCTGACAACCAGCAAAGGTTCAGATTAGCATCTTTTGTATAAATATGCATATTTAATCATAGTTTTCAAAGCATACAAACCCAGATAATTCCAAGAAGAGTTATAGAAACTCAACATTTTTACATTTGAGGCACTTGAAAAGAAATGATGTTAGTTTTTTCTAATATCCCTTTTCAAGCAGTCAGCTTGTTATATCTAATGGTTGTTATTAGCATTGCACCGATACCGATACCAGTATTGGGCGGGGCTGCGATCCAGCACTAAAATGGTGGTATCGGTATTGGCGAGTACCAAGAAATAGGGCACCAATACCATTTTGGGAGCCAAAAGTTTATTCAACTATTGTCACCCATTCTAGGTAGGGAATAAAAAGTTCTACTGGATTCACTTTGTATTAGCCTTTTTCCTGATTCACAAAGGTAGGCAGCAGCTTGACAAAGCCATGATGGCAATTATTTTACATCCAAGTAGTATGAAGTTCTTCATATATACACACACGCATCAATTTCAAACAGATGGTATCGGTATCGGCCGATACTGCACAGCCAGGTATCAGGTATCAATATCGGGGCCAAAAAAATGGCATCTGCGCAACACTAGTTGTTATGCAGACGTAGCAACGATAATATGCTTTTTTTGTTGTAACTGTCTTACACTGACCTTGAGAGCTCTTTTTTTTTTACTTACCTCTCCTGTCTTCCTAATAAATGTGTGTAATGGTAAAAACAAACAGAGGTTCTTAACCAGTTTGGAGAGTTTAGGCCAGAAACGCAGTCCAGCGATCAAAATCTGCCTCACTTTAATGGTATTTTCTCTTGTTTCCCCATTTCAATTTGTCCATTCAGCTGAATTTGCTGTGGCGCTGTTTTTATATCTGCAACCGGAGTGGCTCTAAGTGAAGAGTGTGCATTTTACGTATCAACTACTGTTAAAGTTGCGTAAAAATTATAGATACTTATGATGTTTTCATACTTTTTGATGTCAGAGGAAAACTTACATTTACATAAACATACTTTTCATTCGAAGGATTCTAGATGATACTTTGTGCAATTTTTATTGTCAGACATGTAACTAGTAGTGTTGCGCTAATGCTATTTTTTGGCCCTGATACCGATACCTGGCTGTGCAGTATTGGCCCATACCAATAACAAACTAATACCATCTGTTTCAAATTGATGTGTGTGTGTATATATGAAGAACTGCATACTACTTGGATGTAAAATAATTGCCATCATGGCTTTGTCAAGCTTCTGCCTACCTTTGTTAAGCAGGTAAAATACTAATACAAAGTGAATCCAGTAGAACTTTTTATAGCCTTCCTGGAATGAGTGACAATAGTTGAATAAACTTTTGGCTCTCAAAATGGTATTGTTGCTCTATTTGTTGGTACTTTCCAATACTGATGCCACCATTTTAGTGCTGGATCGGAGCCCCGCCCGATACTGTTATCGGTGCAACACTAGTAAAACAAAAGCCTCAAATATGGTTTTGTTGACAGTTCTATGGCCATTTAAGAATTATTAATTTGAACACATTCAAAACGTATCTTATGACCAGGGTAATAAAGACAATTTGTTCCTATTTTTTGCAGTCCTATTGTTAAATTGTGGGAGTTACTTAATTATACTAAAAATCTGTTCTAGATATCCTTAGAATCCAAGTTCCTCATTCATTTTATATGCATGGAATTGCTTTTTGGCCAGTATGTTGTTTTTTTTAAATATAGTGTTAGGTTGTTGACACATTTTTATGCATGCTGCAATAAATCATTGCAGCATGCAATGATTCAGAGAGTTTCTTAACCCTCTGAATCTGAGCCAAGCCGTCAGAACAAGGAAACAGTCATCATAGCAAACATGCAGAGGCTAATCTTGTTCCTCTTATCAGCAACACTTTGTGCCTCTAAAAGTGAGCGTTACGAAGTATTTACAGGAAAACAATAACAAAACAAAAAAAATCTAAACTTAAGCATCTGTGCAGTAAAGCAAAAAAATTATGGAATAAACAGATGTAATGGAAAGCGGGACACACCTTAACATCAAGCGGATTCTCTACCCTTATTTGTCCCTGAAATGAAGACACAACTTGTCAGGGCTGAATATAGCAAAACAAATGTTATCGTATCAGGAATATGTAGTGCAGTTTACCATTTGGAGCGGCCTGAGAGAGCCAATGAAGGGTTGAGGGAAACCCCAGCTCTGGGGGTGGGGATACTCTCCCACCGCTAGCACTTCAAGCACTCCATTAAACCCTGGATCAGAGTACACCAACCATCTACATATACAGACAGAGGGCATATCAGAATTATTTATAATAACATTGAAGAAAGCTCTCTGCAGAGGCAGTTATAACAAGAAACATTTCCCAGTTTGAACTGTTACTGAGCGCCAACCATCAATTATCCACAGCAGTTTACAATGACAATCACAAGCTGTGGCCTGTTGCTTGCATTCCTCCACAGACAGAGTGCTAACGACGTTCAAACAGACCTTTTCTAATTCTAATAAAACTTCATCATGTGAGATTATTTAATATGCCTCGCACATGTTCATACCTCTTCAACTTGTTTACGCATTGGCACTACCCAGATCCAAGTATTTCCATTGGGATTTTGGTTGATTAACACAGAGTGGTGAATGTATTTAATGTAGAAGGACAGAAACAAGTAAGAATCTACAAATTATGTTCTGCATTTATTTTCACCTTCATTTGAGCTGATCAGTTGCAGAACTATTAATAACTGCAGTTACGTATGCAGGTCGTCTTTGCAACATTTGCCCATCCAGAGGCGAACACTTCTTCCCATCCTGTTTATTTTTGGGATAACAACTAAAGCTTAGTGGGATTGAACAGAGGGCGTTTACAGAACTTTGCCAAAGGTTCTCAGTTGGATTTAGGTTTGGACTTTGGGTCATTCTAATACACAAATATACTTTGCTCTAATCCATTCCAATGCTGCTATCCTTGTGTTTTTTAGCTCATTGTCCTACTGGAATATGAAGTCCACCCTAGCCTCAAGCGTTTCTCATTCAAATCCTTTGTTCTCGTATTCCCCTGCATTTAGCTCCACCCAGCTCCCCTATCATTGCAGAAGAAAGTATTGCAATTGCCTGATCCTGCCGCCTACATGTTTAGTTTTAGTTCATAACTTTATCCCTGATAGTCTGTTATGTTGTCTTTAAGTCTTTAAGTAACCAACTAAGATTATAATGCACATAAGAAGACAATTTACTAATCAGGAGACATTTGTGCTAAATTTGATTTCCACACACCGAAGAAAAAGGGCTAAATAAACCCCCAGATTTTTGTAAAAAAAGTTTTTAAAAACCATGCATCCATCTTAAAAGCATACTACTTTGTGTTAGTCTGTTACATGAAATCCCAATATAATATATACATTATTAACAACAAGATTTGGTATTTTTTCCTCATGAACGATAGGTCATTTACTGTTCAATGGAATGTTTGGAGGCAAATGCAAAATCAAAACAAAACAAAACAAAAAACTGATTTACATGGATAACTTAAGGTCATTTCAAACTTACACTCCAGAGTGAACCTTAATCGATCCTGTGGTTTGTGGGATCCCAAAGGAGCCAAGTTCTGGCGTGTCTTCACAATAAGATGACATAATTCCCAGTCCGTTGACCTCTGAGTACAGGTCGATTCTGGGAGTGCTGTAATCCTACAGACATAAAGTTTTTAAACTTTAACATCTTAAAATCTTGTGGTTATATCCTCTCCTGTTTTGTGTTAGTGTTAAATTTAGCCATGTATAAAATCTCATCGAAAACAAAGTATAAAAAAAAAAAATCTAGTTGTTATTTAAATTAGTTTTGCACAAGTTAAAAAAACACGTTTTGAAAACTAAATTTTAAGATCTATTCAAAAATACATGATCCAGATTTAGAGAACACTATTTTTCAAATTTATCCCAAACTATGTAAATTCTGCCGAAAAATCAATAATGCTAATTTATCAGTTTAATTAGACCAACCAGAATTACTGAATAATATAAAAATATTTACAATATAGTCATCAGTTGTAAAAATATTTTGAAAAATCCCAGGAAGCCATTTTTTGAGACACCTATCATAAATTGAGCTATGAAACTTTAACATTGTTAGAACCATAAAAAGGGAGATGAATATGTTTTATGTTGTACAAATCATTTTTGTTTGTTTTGTTTTGTTTGTCTTAGCAGTAAAATGTTGTAAACTCAGTGTAGGTTTGCAGCTTTTGGAAAATCTGTATTATTTTGAAAGGGTTACTTCCTGTAAAGCTGTGTAATAGAAAGACCCAATAGGAAGAAAGGATCACAGAAACACTTCACTGTCACTATGGTTATTTTTTTATTTTGCTTGCACTTTTCTAGACAAGTGTTTTTTATTAAATTCAGGTTTTGGACAGGACCTTTACTTTTTCCGAAAGTTCCTCAAACGGGATATGATTTGATCTGCTCCCTTACAGTAACAACCTCTAAAGTCTGGCTTCTGGTTGTGCCTTTTATATCACAGTTCTTTGATTACTGGTTGATAGACATTTCATTACATTTTTGGCTTTCCTAATTTTAAAGAATGATTCAAACTATTTGAATGTCATACAGCGTAGAAACAGGAAGAATTAATGAATATTTTATTTTATTTTTTTTACAGTTTGGTCAAACTGTAAAAATAAAGAGTAAAACAAGTCCTGCATTTGTTATATTCCAATTGTTAGGTGTGTTTAAAAAAGTGTCATAAGTCTTTTGTATTTGACCCCTCATAAAAAAAAAAAAAAACTGTTTCAATCTGCACATATTAAAATGTGGATTTCAGGAGATTTTGCTGTTGCTGAAATCTAATTCCTATTTAAAACGTTACAAAGGGTTGCTGGTTTCTTTTGTTAAGCTCACAAAAAGAAAAAAAAATCCTAAAACCCCTAAAAACCCCTTCTTGGATTTTAAATTATATGAAATGTAGCTTGAATATTGATAAACATAATAAACATTTGGAGTTTACAACTATGGTTTAATTACACAGACCAAACTTTAAATCCAAATTCAACAACAACATGAATTTAGAAAGAGTTTTGATAGAGTAGTAAACATGGTTGATTGTTTAAATGTCTAAAATAAATGTGACTCACTCTGACTGCCAGGCGAAGGGAACCTACAACCATTGGTGTGGTTGGAACAAGCTGATCCATTTGGTTTAACGTCTCAGGAGTTCCCTCGTCTGCCCAGATGTTCACTATCTGCTCCATGGGACCTTCCTCCAGTGCAATAACACGGCCTTGGAAGCCGGGCTTTTCATAGAGAAGCCAGCTGGAAAGAGAGTAAGAAAATGAAACTGCACCATAAAAAAATCCAAAACAAAGAAACAAACAAAAAAAATAAATAAATAAAATTTTATATATATATGTTTTTATATATATATATATATGTTTTCTTGTGATGACAAAAAAGAGACACATGAAATGATTAAAAGTTTTATTCTAGAAACTGGTCTATCAAGGCAGTGGAAGGTGGGCAAAACCAAAGTGTCAAGCATAAGATTGAAATTGTTTAATCATAAGATAACATCTAATTCTTCCTATAAAATAATTAATAATGCTGCATATTAAAATGATCCTTATTACTACTGCTAATAAACTTATAACTCCTGCTGTTAAGCAGGGATAAGAAGAATAAAAACACTTTTTTTTGTGCTTTGGTGGTTCCCTTAAGTATTGTTAACTTTAAACATTTGAGTTTTATTTTGTAAGGTGTTTTGTTGTACAATCCAAATGACTCCTCCATCTCCTGTTTATAAAATAAATTAAAAAAACACATTTGAAAAATAATCATGCTGTTAAATTATGAATGTGTTCATCTGGAAAGTAGATCATTTTCAGTTTAATCTGTTAGGCCATTCTTGTTATCAATTAATGTTATCAATTTCACTGTCACAGCCTCTATTTTTTAAATGTTTTTATTTTGTTTCTGACACTGTGTTTTTATGCTTTTGTACGGTGACCTTGAGTGTCCAGAAAGGCGCCTTTTTAAATAAAATTTATTATTCTTATTATTGTTAAACCCTGATATACCTTAGGGGATTCTGAATGTGATAAGCTTAGGAAGACAATATTTTTGAGCGCTTTACCGCTTTAACAGAACTTTATCACTACTGCTGAATACAACACATTTCTAATGACTTGATTCTTGTTAAAAAGAATGCTTTTTCCAAACACATAATGTAAATCAAATGCTCCATAAAAGCTATTAACAGTTTTAGCAACAATATCTTATCTTCTGTTTCAAATTGTGATTCTCCTACTTAATGGTGCTGCATTTAAAAAAGGATATACTGTCATAGTCTTAAAGATTGTATTCTCTGAACTTTAATGGAAAGAAACCAATACAATTATATGTATGAACTGCAAAACTAATAATATTTTGAATGTAAAATTTTCTTGGTATCTTTATCACGTTTTAAATTGTATTATCATGACAACCCTTATCTAAACCCAAGTGGTTAACTACAGCAGATTAGATGGTCATGCTAAAAGTGAACAGACTTCAGGGTTTTTGTCTTGCAAGTAATTCCAGCTTGGCTTAAAATTCGTGCGTAAAAAAAAAACTACATATTGTTTTGGGTGAAACTGTGATGTGGGGAGATAATAGATGTTAGTAAACCATCACGTTTAATCTTAATTTACAATTTTCCCTTTGTTTCCCTACTCCAAATAGATAAACGGAGAGTCTTCTTTGTGAAGATTGAATCCCATACCATCCTCTGACGACTTTCACTGATATCACAGGAGATAGCTTCATTGTGGTTGAATCTTCTATGTCACCGTAGATTTCATATGCCTCACCACCAAACTGAGCATTTTCGTGTATGACAATCTGCATCCAAAAATAGAATTTTCAGTAACAGAAAAGAACACTGCTTCTTAAAAAGCGACTAGAAAACATTTCAAATCCTACCTTTCCAGGTCTTCTGTGATGTCCTCTAACTAAAGGTTTCTGCAAGATCAATTTTCCAAGAAAAAGTCAGTTTTAGGTTAAGCTCAAATCAGGTTTAGCTTCACTATATAGCGCCAATTCACAACACATGTCATCTCAAGGCACTTTACAATTCAACCAGATCATACAGTCAAATTGATTCAAAGTTTTCCGTCTAAGGAAAACCAGTTGATTGCATCGACTCATTGACTCAAAGGCAATCCCTTACTCATATCAGTAGGGAAAATTGCAGAGAGACCAATATCAAACATAGTGGAGAGTTATTTCATCCAAGCATGAGTTTTAGGTAAATTACTTGATCAAATCCGTGAATCATAGATCCATTGTATTTATTCATCTCTGTTAATTTAAAAGCAAAGCATTTTAAATCTTGAAGGCATTTTTTTCACTTTGTAACAATATAATTAGACCTAATTTGTGGCATAACAAAAAGGCTTTTCAGATGGTACACTTTATAAATGCATTACAAATGGGTGTTATTTGCTTACTGATGCAAATATTTTGCCTCTAGTTAGGAAACTTCATGTGCACTAATATTGCAACACATTTTCTGTGCAAAGTGCCAGTCTTGTTCTTACTTGCAAATGATTCACAACTTGGAGGCAGAAGTGTCAAAGAAAAAAAAATGACAAGATACCACTTGAAGTTTGTGTCACCATGGAAGTAAAGAAGAAACAAATCTGTGCTTTGCAGCTAGAAACCCATTGAGACTATAACAGTAATTTACTATTAGTTGATGGAGTATAATTTCTAAAGAACTAAGTAAATTTCTGAGTAAAAAAAGCACCTACCTTAGCTGTGTGAATTCGATTGTGAGATATTTCATCAGTGTAGTTTGTGATAGAAGGCATTGCTGTAGGGTTTGTCTGGTCCACATCCACAACAGATATGTTTGGAATTGACGTGTGGTTGAGAGCCGGAGGGGTCACGTCAGCTGTCTGTGTGGAGTCCACGGAGGCCTCTGGCTCCCTTTCGTCTTTCTTAAGGTATTTCTCTAAATGATCAGGAAGCTTTGTCTCGGAGCATGCTGGCAGAGGAGGAGCGGAGGAGGAGCTAAGTGTTGACTCACTAACTGCATCTGCTCCACCTTTTGTTATCTGGCTTTGATCTGTACCTTGTATGCTCCCATTATCATCAAGGGCCACAGGCAGAGGCGAAGCAATAGCTTCCTGCAGTCCAACTGAAGGCATGGCTTGTTGCTGGTTGGATGGAACTGTGTCATTTGAGGGAGAGGAAGCTTCTGCTCTTGCCTTCCTGGAGGTACGAGGGGAGCTTAACAAGCCTGTGAGAATGGACATCCTCTCAAGTCTTGAGGTCATCTTACCCGGCCCATTGTCTTGCCCCTCTGCTTTTCCTGCTTCAACATGAGACTCTTTGTCCCCATCTTCTCCTTCAGTCTTCTTAGTTGTCAGTGGATCTACTGAAGTACAATTCTCTTCAGAATGAGAGGTTGGACCATCCCTATTGGCAGCTTTCTGTTTAATTATCATAGCAGGAGAAAGGTTCATACGTTTATCATTTTTTCTTAAGCCAAACTGGAATTCCTGTGGATCAAAGGTGCGCTCAAAATGGTCCTCCCTGATGGCTGGCAATGGGGGAGATGGAAGTTTTTTCCGAATATGTCTCTTTCGAGGTAGTGAAAAGGGGATTCCTCCTTCCCTCACACTATTTATAAAGTCACTAATTGCATCAGGCTCAATAAATTCATCATCACTCACTGTCTCATCTTCATTTCTTCTACGTCCCTTTTTCTTTTTGTGACGATCTTCCACATCCAACCAAGCAGATGGGATCTGTTTAGGTGTAGACAAAACATTGACAGAATTTCGGTTTGGAGTTGTTTCCTTTGTCAGAATCTCTTGTGCACCCTCCTTATAACCTGCTTCTACAGTGGACATTTCTGTAAATGACCCAGGTTTATGAGTTGTTCCTTCAGAGCCCTTAGCATTCTTCAGATTATCATTTCCAAGCATTCCTTGAGCTGAAGCAATGGGGTATTTTCCCTTTTGCTCTGTGCAAACAGCTGTGTTTGGAAGATTTTGTTCCAAAGTAGTGATATTTGTATTCTGTTTTGCATCATTCTGATTAGATTTATTTTTTGCAACATTTGGTATTTCCTTCTGAACTTCTTTTACTGCAGAGTCATTAGAGGATTTTGCATCTAAGATTTCCTTAACCTCAACTTTGCCATCTTCAAATGGTGGGATACTTGAGTCCTTTAAAGTGCCTGATTTAGGTACTTTTTTATTTTCAGTCAAGCTAACTGGTGATAGGTTGATTTGTACAGATTGTTCTATAGGATGCTCAACAATCTGACCAGTTCTGGCATTCAGATCTTGAATCTCAGTCTTCAAATCTCCTATTATCACTGCCGGAAGTTTTTCCTTTTGGTCTGTTTTGGGGTATTCATGTTGTGGTGACAGTTCTTGAACTTGTGAGGCACATGCATTTTCTTTTGTACTAATTGAGGACTTCTGGGCCTGTTCTACAGCTGATAATGGTAATTCCTGGAGGTCAACTCCATGGCAACCTTTAGGTTCAGCTGTGCTTTCATGATCTTGGGTTTCACGTTTAATCGTTTTCTTGCTAACTTCAATCATTAGATTCCCTAGTTCTTCTTCAAGATTTTCATTTTGACTTAGAGACATAGCTGACTGATCAGTTTCCAGTTTGGACTTTTCATCAAAAATGTCAAGTTTGCTAGAGGTGCTTCCGAATGCTTTTCTTTTAACATCTTCCGATAATTCTTTAGCATCTTCAGCACTTGGACTCGTGGGGCTGGTAAGCTGGCTTTCTGTTATCTTAGTTATTTTTCCTGTACATTGTCTCGTTTTAGGGTCAGAACTTGTATCTTTGAGTTCTTGAACTGGTTTTGGTAAATCCTCATCTTTTCCTGTTATAGTTTTGGGTGTCTGGAATTCTTGGTTGCAAACTTCAGTAATATAGTTCGGAGTTGCTGTTTTACCTAACAAAACCTCCGAAGATGTATCCTGATCTTCAGATTTTTCTTTATAACAAAGTAGACCAGAATCCTGGGTCTCCCTGCCACTCTGCTTTTCTATCAGCTTCACTTGAACTTCTTTTCTTATTGTCTCTGGCTCAGACCCAGTTAATTTTTCTTGATCTAGTTTTGCAGTAATTGTGTCTGGGTCACCATTTACAGTGGATGCTGTGTCTTTTGTGATTTCAAGCCTCGACATGGTATTTACATTCACTGACCTCTGAAACTTATCTGGAGTTTTCTTTGATTGATCCTTACTTGTGGTTTTGTCTTGAATTTCTTTGGATTGGTCCTTCATTTTAGGCTTTTCTGGAGTTTGATTTGATTGGTCCTTACTTATAAACATGTCTTGCACTTCATTTAATTGTCCCTTACTCGCAGTCTTGTCTTGAAGTTCACTTGATTTTCCCCCACTTTTATTTTTGTCTTGAGTTTCATCTGATTGGTCCTTACTTGCAGTCTTTTTTTGAGTTTCATTTGTTTTATCCTTAGTTGTAGTCTTGTCTTGACTTTCCTTTGTTTGGAATTTATTTGTAGTTGTGTCTTGAGTTTCATTTGATTGATCCTTTCTAATAATCTTATCTTGAGTTTTCTTTGATTGATCCTCACTTGTGGTTTTGTCTTGAATTTCTTTGGATTGGTCCTTAATTTTAGGCTTTTCTGGAGTTTCATTTGATTGGTCCTTACTTATAAACATGTCTTGCACTTCATTTAATTGGCCCTTACTCACAGTCTTGTCTTGAAGTTCACTTGATTGGCCCCCACTTTTATTTTTGTCTTGAGTTTCATCTGATTGGTCGTTACTTGCAGTCTTTTTTTGAGATTCATTTGTTTGATCCTTAGTTGTAGTCTTATCTTGAGTTGCATTTGATTGGTTCTTCCTTGTAGTCCCATGTTGAGTTTCCTTTAATTGAACATTATTTGTAATCCCATCTTGAGTTTCCTTGAGTTGGTCCTTACTTGTAGTCCCATCTTGAGTTTCCTTGCATTGCTCCTTACTTGTAGTCCCATCTTGAGTTTTCTTAAATTGAACCTTACTTGTAGTCTTGTCTTGAATTTCATCTGATTGGCCCCTATTTGCAGTCTTGTCTTGATTTTCTTTTGAGTGGTCCTTACTTGCAGTCTTTTCTTGAAGTTCATTTAAATGGCCCCCACTTGCATTATTGTCTCTAGTTTCATCTGATTGATCCTTACTTGCACTCTTTTCTTGAAGTTCACTTGATTGACCCCCACTTTCTTTTTTTGCATGAGTTTCCTCTGATTGGTCCTTACTTTCAGTCTTTTCTTGAGATTCATTTGTTTTTTCCTTAGTTGTAGTCTTGTCTTGACTTTCCTTTGTCTGGAATTCATTTGTAGTTGTGTCTTGAGTTTCATTCGATTTGTCCTTACTTATAGTCTTGTTTTGAGTTATAGGTGATTGGGCCTTACTTGTCGTGTTTTCTTGAATAGCAATTGATTGGTCTTTACTTGCAGTCTCTTCCTGAGTTTCATTTAATTGGTTCCTACTTGTTGGCTTATCTTCAGCTTCATTTGAATCGTCCTTACCTATAGTGGTGTCTTGAGTTCCATTTAATTGGCCCTCACTTGTCATCCTGTCTTGATTTTCTTTTGACTGGTCCTTACTTGTAGTCTTTTCTTTTGTTTCATTAGAGTCGTCTTTACATGTAGTCTTGTTTTGGGTTATATGTGAATGGGCCTTACCTGTAGCCTTTTCTTGAGTTCCTTCAGGACTTTGAACATTGGTGGCTGTGATGTTGACCTCCTGAAATTGACTTGGTGTCATCTCTTTTGAAGCTTCTTCTTGTACTGACTTTGGTGTACATTTCAGGTCTGTTTTTGAGTCTTTGTAGCCTTCAGGTGATTTTATTATTTCCTTTTCTTGTTTTACATCAGTATAGATCTCCTCCAAATGTTCCGTTTTTTCATTCAACAAACCTCCAACTTTACCATGCCCCTTCTCTTCAACTTCAGCATCTGCATTTGATTGATTTGGGGATTTATTAGTTAAATGTTTAGCTACCTGTAATTTCTCTTCACTGGGTCTCTTTTTGTCTACATTTTGCTCTATTTCAAAAGAGCAGTTGAGCTCTTGGAGATTTCCAGTGTCTTTATTTGGGTTAATGATTACAAATTCATTACCTAAACTTTCTGACAAGGTGTCCTTTACTTTAGCCTCATCTCTAGTTTCTTCACCATCTTGACTCAAGGAACTTGGCATTTGATTAACCTGGCTGACTGTTGTTTCCTCAGGAATTTCTTGTCTTGCTCCCTGGCTTGTCTCAGATTTTTCATCCATAGTTTCTTTTAAATTTCCATCTTTCTCACCAAAAGTCACTTGTTTTTTCTCCTTTACTAGACTTTGTAATGGTGAAACTCTGATTTCGGAATTTGCCTGTTGAGACTCTGGAGTTGCTACCACAGTGGCAGCACTTTGGTTTGGTAAATTGATCTGTTCCATTTCTAAAGGTTTTCCATCCTTGTTACCAATGGTTTCCATTTCATGGACATGTTGATTTCTACCTTTACTCATAAGACTTGGCAATGATGATTCAGTAGTTTCAGAATTTGGATGTTCAGATTTTGAGGTCTCTTCATCAATCTTGCCAACCATTCTGGTCAACTGAGTCTCTTGGCCGTTAGCTGATTGCACATCAGGGTTAGTTGCTTTTGTCTTTGCTACATTTTCTTTGCCATCCTGACTGTCTGCAATTACATTTTCTTTTTCAAAGCTTTTAGAGATTTCTTTGGCTTCATTTTTTACCCTGTTTTCTTCATTGTGGGCATTCACTATTGGTAGGTCTACGGCTGTAGGATCTTTTTCATTATCCTCTGTCTTTCCCTTTTCACTTCGAGCAGCCTTCTGGTTATAATCTGAGTTATAATTCTCATATCCAACTCTGTTTATGATATGTTTATCTTCTGCTCCAGATTTGGATTTCACTGATGTCTGAGCATTTCTTTCAGTTGTTTTATCGTTCACAGTTTTGTCTTTGTTAGGCAATACCTCTTTTTCTTTGGTAATCTCTGTAGATTCAGTGTCCAACAGTTTTGAACCAGTGGTTGATATTTCAGAACTCGGTTGCACTGATTCCTTATTTTGCTGCCTTGTTTTCCCAGAGTCACTCTCTGAATCTTCTTGCAGGAGGGTCTTCTGCTCAGCGTCAATCACGCTTGCTGTAGTGTTGAGTATTACACTCTTTGATTCAAAACTATCAGTCTCCCCTTTCAGGACATTTGTAACTACTGTCAGTTGTTTCTTTTTAGCTTCAGGCTGCAAGCTTTTCTCAGATGAGAGATGGTCTGTTTTCCCTGAATCTATAACTCCTCCCCCTGCAAAGTCCAGAGGTCTTTCCTCAAGCTCCTTTTTACAACTGTTTTGTGACTCTGAGCTTTCTATCACAGTGCGATTAAGCATTTCATTTGGCTTTGAGTCTTTCTCCCTGCTTCCAGATTCCCCTAAAAGAGCCTCTTTGTTTGACTGCTTTTCAACATTCTGTGGCAATTCACAAACAGTCACTGCTTCTGTTTCTACATCCAAAGCCTCAGCTGGTTTCCATCCAACCTCCTCTTTAATTTTCTCCCCTGCTTCAAAACCTTTCACTGCTCCCTCGGTTACTGTGTGGTACAGTTCATAATTTACAGCTTTGGTTTGATCATCCAAAAAGTCCCCTGAGTTAAGGCAATCAGATCCTACAGTAAGACTCTCTAAATGTGCATCATCTGGTTTAGCAGGAAGATTTTTTCTTGTTTCTGATGTAGGCATAACTCCATCCTGTGTTATGTCATCATAAATGCCTTCATCCAAATCAGGTTCGGTTGATTTAATGGTTTCATCCTTTGGAGTTGGTTTAATGTCTGAAACCATAAGTCTATGAGTTTTATCTTTGGAGACTTTCAATTTAGTCTTTCCTGGTAGCTCCTTTAAATCATCTTTGGCCTTAACAGAGTTGTAAGTTTTAGAGGATGGTAGTGTTTTCTGTCTTTGTTTGTTTTCCTTTTGATTTCCTGGTTTAACTTGTTTGGCCTCCGGCTTTCTTTTATCAGTGTCAGTTTTTTGAGAATCACCTGAAATTTTCGACTTGCTTATTTCTCTAGACTGAATGCTTGAAATCTGTCCATCTGTGAGGTCACCTTCAAATAAAGTTTCAGCAGTTTTAGCTTGTTTGTCTCTGATTTCAAAGGGTTTCTCTGCAGACTTAAAGTCACTGTCCTTCATAATATCTGCTGCAACAGTTTCTTTAACAGTCCCATCTGTATTGAGGATTGAATCCTCAGATTTTGGTGATTCTTGTTGGATTTTGGGTTTTGTTTTATTGGAGCCTCTCTGACTTCTGGTTGGAAGCTTGCTGCCTGATGTTAGAGATTCAGTTGAGTTCTTTATGGGAATTTTGTTCAATTTAATGTTTTCATTTTGCTTAGTGAGCCTTGAGAATACATTTGATTCTTGTTTGGAAGGAGGAGGAAAAAGACTTGATGTGTCACTCTCTTCATGACTTGTGCTTCTCTTAGAAATTTTAGACGTCTTTAAAAGCATGCTTCCTGTTCCTAAAAAGAAATTAAAGACAACTGTTATTAAAAAAACAAAAACACGGGTAAATAAAGTTGCACTAGAGAAAAATAAATAACAGTGGTATTTCTAACATTAATCTTTCTTGGTATGGACATTTACAGTAAGACATTTTTTTTTTATTTGCTGAATCAAAAAAGAAATCCTGTAAGAAAAATAATTGAAGATTTCCTTTGAATGCTTTTTAAAGTTTCATGAATTTTGAAATTTAAAAGTGTGCTTTACAGAAAAAGCTAAAAAGAAAAGAAAACAAAAAAAATTTATTAAAAATGCTTCAACCAAGTAAGATGATGTCTAAAAAATTATATTGGTTTAATTATATTTAAGTTCCACTGTAAATAAAAATTGACATAATAAAATGGGTACTTTGGCCTGACAAAAACAACAAATTAAATAAATTAATAAAGTAATGGATTCATTAAATAATTTGTGGAATCAAAGAAGCTAAAAAACTTTAAATGATCATTTTCAAGAATAATTTGGCAGACAAAAATCATTCATCCATCATTAAATCAAATCAAGGATTACTTCTAAAAAAAAATAATCAAAAATGGCTATTTTTACAAAAAAGGAAGTCGAATAGATTAATCAAATAAATAATTAAATAATCAAAACTTTAAATTATTTGATAAAACCTTTCGGCTCCTCATACTGCAGACTGGATTCTTACCTTTCTCTGGTATTTCTCGCTGTGGCGTCTGTGATTCAGTTTCAGGTTTCTCATCAACAGGAGTGTCTTCTTCATACACTGGACTCTGTTTTTGGACTGTTTCTCCTTTGTCTGAGTTACACCTTGTCGGAGTAACGCTGATATGTGTTTTTCTTGTTGGAGATGAAACTGGTAGCTTACTCTTTGATGCATGGGAAGAGCCACTCTGTGATTGGCTCTGCTGCAGGGTTTCCCCATCAGGATGGTATCCTTTTTTACCACTTCTTTGCTCGGGCTCCTTCTCCATGTCATCTAAAAAGACCTCATCAGACTTTTCCTTAATTAGCTTCACCGGGGTCTTGTACATAAGCTTTGTGGGAGAATTATTTCCGGATGCAGTTCTCCCACTTTTGGGATCTTCAAAACTTGGTTTTCTGACAGGCTTTGCTGGAGGTTTTACAGGTTCTTTTGGTTTGTGTTGTTTTGGCAGTTTGGAATTGATTGTTGACCCCAAAAGATCCTGATCGGATATTTTATCAGGGGTTACTGGAGATTTTACATCAGCATCTGATTTTGAAACTTTGGGAATTCTCGACTTTGAGTGACCACCACTGCTTTGATCCTTTAACAATGGGAGCCCAGAAACACGCTTCTCAGTGCTACGCTCACTGGGTGGCGGATGATCACTGGTCATTTCTGATTTATTTCCTGCTGTGGTCTTTCTTGAGACACTCTTCACTTTGAACCCAGTAGTAGTAGCTGAGCTCTTTGGTCCACTTACAGTGGAACCATGCAGGTTACCCACGGCTCCTGTTCCACTGTGTTTAGCAGAAGCCATCAGACTACTTTGACTTTTTACTCCAGGGTCTGCATCTTGTAATTTAGACTTGCTCATGTCTAAAGCTGCAGTAGTATCTCCAGATAAAGCGGTTTCAGTTTCTTTTTCCTCTATGGATGCAGGAATGTTGTTAGTGTCAACCTGTTGAGGCTCTTCTGTTGTTGCTGGTGGGGCTTTAGTGATGCCATCTTTGATTTTAGCTTCACTGTCTTTTTGGAGAGACGTCAATCTGTCAGGGAAGACACAGAGAGAAGCACAGGCTTGCTTTATATTATGTCTGGAGTTCAATATTGTAAAGAGGAAATGTTTACAAGTGGAACAATCTAAACAGGGCACTTAAAAAGAATAAACTAGGATTAATCAGATGATTGGCTTAATTACATGGTCCGAATAATTGTTAATTGCTATCTGACCTGGAGAATAAAGAGATTGCCTAAATACTGTAGAACCTGAATAACAACACGAAGAAGGCTATACATCCCAAAATCCTTATCTAAAAGCTCTTAAGGAGATGAAGATAAACTGAGAAAATATGATTTATTAATCTGGAGCAGGTTTCTAGGTATCATCTTCATAGCTCTGGAACTGAAGTGGGCCGAGGTAAGAGCCATGATCCAAAGTGGAACAGTTGGAAACCTTTCCAGGCAAAGAGCGGGTGGCCTATGTATAGTAATCTAAGTCCTAAACCAACCAAGAACAATATCTAAAGCACTGCTGACTTACTTGCCTAAGTTAAGGTTCGATATCAAGTAAGGCAAATGGAAGCAATTATCTCTACTGGAGATTTTTAAGGTAAAACCCTTCCTGAATAAACTCTGGCACGTAACATTTACCAAACATCGTATCCCTCAAATTTGGTGAATTGATGAGACGATGGAACTTTTTGAACATGGTGGTCTTGACTTGATGAAAACTTTCAGAAAACCAAAAAACACAATCAAAAGTCTGACATCATAGTGGTAATGTGATGGTCTGGGCCCAGTGTTGCTCTTTAAAGACATAAATTAGCCATTAGGGGCTACTAATGCAGCAAAGGCCTCAGATGACTAACATATCCCACAGGGCATAATCTTATTATCTGTTTTTAAAGGCAGCAGTCAATTATTCTTTAGATGGCCTAGTCAAAGGCCAGACTTTAATCGGATTAAGATGCTGTGGTTTGACATTAGATTATTTATGCTCAGAAGAATAGAACAGAACTCAGAGAACAGCACAATAGACATTTATTGGGTTCATGGGGTGCCTATCTTACACATAAGGCCTGGTTGGTTTGGATAGCTGTTTTTCAGTAATCAATAAAATCATAAAGTAAAAAAAACAAACAAAAAAAGAAGCTTTTTTTCCCCCTTCAAAATCATATTATACCAAAATTGATTGACATGAGGGTGCATACAGTAGCTCTTTAAGCCTCTGGGCATCTTTTTAACTCTCAGGTTGAAAGTTAGATGAGGAAACACCCTCTAATGTATCCTTTAACCTGTATTTTTAGGACACATTGGGGTGGTAATGTAAGACTTGCAGCTTTCTGCATTTCCACACTATTGTGAAAAAAAAAACAAAAAAAAAAACAATAAACTGTTACCGCTTGAGCTGCAGTTATGTCTAAGAATCCGGTTTTAGTTGTACTTTTTTTGAAAGTTTTTTAAATATTCATATAAATCATTTTCCTCCTATCTTCTCATACTTCCGCATTTAGGGCAAGATTATTAATGTCCAGTATGAGCATCTACTCCTATGAGACTCTGTCAATCTAGCTTTATCATATTTTTACATTTAAATTTCAAGATCCTAATGCTAAGAAAGGAACCATTATTCCTCTACAAACAGGTTTTTGTTGTCATTATAATATGCAGTGCACAAGCTAAAGCATCCCTGCTCCGGGAGCGAAAAACACAAAAACTGAACAGTTGTAGTGTTTATCTCTTTGGTTACTCCTTACTCTCTCATAAAGGATAACACATCAGAGGGTTTAAAACATTTCATCTAAAAAGATAAATGATGAAATCTCTTTGAAAAACTCAGGCTATCTATGCAGAACTGTAACAAAAGCCAATTCGATAATCATCGCCTTAAAATTTTAAAGATATCTAAATAAAGAACACCATGTAGGCAATATCAGATTGCATGCCTGCTTATATAATAAATTGTTTTTAGGTATTTTTATTTAGGCATGACCAGCTTCAGTCAGGTGTTATAAAACAGTTAAATAGCTCATCCTCTGGATTGTGCACTTGCATCTATATTAAGGGTAGTATCTACAAGCATTGAAATCTTTAATTATAGACTGTTAATTTGGTGATTACAGCCAATGACAAATTGGAAAGTCGTAACATTTATCTATTCTTCTGGAAATTGTTAAAAATTTTCCTAATCAATTCACTTTATGGTATTTCTCAGCGCAGGTACCTCCCACTGTATGTGACCAACCTTAGCTACTGTAAATGAATATTTTAGTGCCTCTCAGTCAGTTCAGCTTATTGTTCCTCTAAGCTACAAAGGAACATGGGAACACTGATATCAGGTTGCAGGCAGGTTTTATTCTCCTCTGCTTTTCAAGAGATCAAAGGGAAAAATGACACCAAAAAACATGGAAAATGAAAAACTCACCCGCTTAACTCTACTCCATTCGAGGTCTCGGAAGTTAAAGCTTCCTCTGCAGCTTCCAAACTCGACTCTGCTTGAATAAGGACCTTCTCTGCACTGACTTTGCTCTTCGATGGCAGACTCACAGTCTTTCGAGTCAGGTGGGTTTCTCTCTTTTTCTCCTTCAGGGGCTCCTGTTGAGGGATTGCTCCGCTGTCGGTCTCCTCCAACTGGTGCGAGGCTGTTTGAAACTCCTCTGAAGTTGTTGCCAAGGAGATGTCGGACTCTGGCAAGCTGCCACTGGATAGCCAACTCTCCGTTGGGGTAGGTGGGGTTTCAAACTGAGTTACCACCTCATCCTCAGGTATTACTGTGACAGGTATGGCCAGCACAGGAGGCGAGTCTACTCTAAAGCCCTCCTCTCCTTGTTTCATTACATCCATCTCTCCCTCCTCCTCCTGCTCCTCCCCCAGGTACGTCTCAACCCAGATGGCTTTATGGAGCTGGATGGGAGAATCCTCTTCGGGTGTTTGCTCTGTCTCAGGCGGAGGGCTCCATGCAGGGCCAGTTTGCTCAGACAGGCCAAAGGAAGGTTTATTGACTCCTGAATGTTCCTTTTGTGAGTCTGGAGCATTTTTGTCTTGCTGATTAGTAGCAGTATGGGATGTGGATAATTGATGGCTTAAAGTAATTCCTTTTAACACAGTGCTGTGGCCCTTCTCTCCAACTTTCACCATGGTTTTCTTTGATGCTAAGCATATGGATATTAAGTTAGGAGACTTTGGGCTGTCCACCTTTAAAGAAATTGGGGTTTTAAGTGACATTGGGGTCGTTGGGGTGACCATGATCTCCTCTCTGGAACTCTGGACATTGTTGTCTAAATTAACCTGCAATCTCTTGCTAACTTCTTCCACCACTGAATCTGCAAATCCCAAATCAGAATCAGAGTTTGGGCAAACAGGAGATGAAAAATCTGCACTGGTGGGAGTGATATTCCCAGAATTCTTTTGAACTCCATCTGTGCTGACCCTGGATATAGGGACCTCCTTCACGCTGCTCCTGCCACTGCTGCCGCTGTCAGCGAAAGGGAGATCTGGGTCAACTGCAATCAGAGAGGAAACGCTAGGGCCAGAGCTTTGGCTGAGGGAGTCATCCAGCTCAGCTTTGGCGGAAGCATCCTGTGATCGTTTATGGGAATCTGTGAGAGGCGTTAATTCATCCTCTAGTTGGGATGCAAAGAAACGGGGAGATACAGGAGATGTTGGCTGGCTTGAATTTGCAGAGCTGTTAGACTGATGCCGACTATTGCTTTTCTTTTTGTTTAAAAAGTTGGCGATTCGACCAAACATGCCTCTTTTTTCTCCCTACGAGGAAGAAAAACAAGAGAAAAACAAGAAGAATACACATGAATAAGAAACACGGATGAGAAAAAAATCTGGAAAAGCAAGCACATTAATAATAATACACACACGTTGATTTGTTTGCGCTCCAGTTTTAAGGTGTAATTAAAAATATTTATTTAGAAATCATTAAGTTATACAATCTTTTCATCTAATAAATGCAAATATATAATAAGCCAAAAGAAAACTAACCTTATTCGTTTTATTAAAAAAAAATGGCCTTTATCTTAAAACACATTTATTAGTGATAGTTTTACTTTAGTTGTACTACATTTATTTCAAAGATCTTGATCTTGTGATTTTCCCAAGGAAATATTGTTTATTTTTTTACTTTAGGATTTTATATTTCTGAAGATTCTAGTTGTAGTTTCTGAATTTCATCTACTTATCTTTTAATCTGTCACTCACCTAATAATAACCGGCAGCACTTAAAGTGTCCAGTTTCATCAGTCTGTTGTGGTTTCTGAATGGATCTCTCTTATTGGACACTGGTTATTTTATACACCTTAGGGTACTTTCTAAGAAGTTTACAAGAAGTTTACAGTCAAAGTTAAATTTTTAATTTGTTATTTTTTTGTGCCCATAGAAGGGCTAAATTAGTTCAGGCATTATGTTGTGTCACAGTCAAACATCAATCTAAATGACTAACCAGGCAATTATAAATACCTTTCGGGTAAAGATCAAGGGTCACTTCATTACAAATGCTAACTAGTATCAAATGAAGGAAAATGTTTTGATTTAGACACATTATCAATGTGTGATAATCTTAAAGATGCATTTAATTAAACTATTATAGAATTATTAATTATATCAGTAATTCTGTCTACAAAGCATAACTCATTTTTGTGATTTCTTTTAATCATTAGTATTTAAATCTTGAGGTTAATTAAGGTAGATTTGGATATTTATTATTTAATTAAAAAAGGTCGTTTCAATCAAAATATGTATTTTGAATAAAATAAATTATTTTAAGAAAAAAACACAATCCGAAAAAAAGTATTTGAATGTAAAATATAGTTGAGACTCAAAAAATTAATTGAAACACTGAATAAACATTTATTTTTATATAAGTGAAGGTATTTTTGCTTGAAGCATCTTTTTAATCTAATTACGGTTGTTTTGTGTTTTGACCATATACTGGGTAGGACATGTATGTCTTTATAATTCAATCACAAAGGAAGTTGCTTCAAATTAATGAAATAAATTAAGAAAATAGTCACTTTAATGAAAATAAAAACCTTTGCAATCATAGAAAATAAGTTTTTGAATACAAAAGACAAATATTTGAGGCTAAAAAATAGCATTTAAATGCTTTTCTTTGTTTCAATTCAAAGTGTTTTCCTTGATTGAATGAATCTTTTTTGTCTTTGAGGCAAACATTAGGTAAGAAATGCGTGCCTCAATTGTTTATTCCCCCCCAAAAAATGCTTCAATTGAAAAATCTAAATTCTGTTAAAGAAAAAATACTACTCCCCCTCCAAAAAAAACCCCCTTCTTTTTATTAAAGCAACCTTTTTCTAATTGAATAAAGAAACAAGGGGTGTTGCAGCCTAGTGGTTAGGGCCTTGTGCTTGGAATCCAGAGGGTTTCGCCTACTGCTCTCCAAGGGGGTTAAATGCAGAGAGTGAATTTCGTTGCTCTGTACTTGTGACAGTGTAATTACAATGAAAAGCCGGAACCCCCCCCCCAAAAAAAAATCTTATTGTAGCTATACATATTATGAAGGACTATCTGTTAAAAAGCCTGCTGAAAGGTTTGTTTGTTGTAGTGTAAAATATATTCAGTCACTGTTTGACTTAAAATGTAATGCTTCAATCAAGCTTGACATGCCTGTGGCCTCTGATTGAATTCAGAAAACTCAGTCGATCATCACCAGCAGATGGCACGGCTTAATCGATGGATGTCAAAACTTCACTTTGGATTTTTAAGCTTGTTTTCACAATCCCTCCACCCTTCCTCCAGACTCTGGAGCCTTGATTTATAAATAAAATGCAAAGTTGTTTTTCTTCTGAGAGGAAGACTTTAGGCCACTGTTCAATAATCCATTTCTTTTTCTCCTTAGCTTAAGAAAGTTTTACCATTGTCTCTGCTGCAGTAGTGACGGAACAGAAGAACTGTAAACATAGTAACCTCTGCCCCAAACTTGTCTGTATTTAGTGGCTCATGTAGCCATGACTGCAGTTTACACTTTTTGAATCTGCTCCTAACTTTTTTTTTTGTTTGTTTTTATGGCCCTAGTGGCTCGTTTTTTGGACAGTAGGCTGACAGGAAAGGGGGAATGAGAGAGGGGTAGAGACATGCGGCAAAGGACCACAGGTCAGACTCGAACCCAAGTCAGCTGCGTCGAGGAGTAAAGGGCTGATTATACAACCCGCAGCAGTGTGTTGCAGTGAGCTTGTCGCAAATATTTTTGATTTATGCCCAATATCGAAGCGTGGTCTGCGCTATGTTAGAGGGACAATCACGAACTAGCTGTGGGTCTAGATACGGTCAAGGCGGTACATGAGGGACATGGGGGCAAAAAAGAGCCAGGATCCAGGTGGAAAAAGGGTCCCAGTATTCTCGCGCGCCTCACTCTTCTAGCTGGTCTATCTTCACAAGTCGTTTTCCACAATGGCGGTCAATTGCCTACTGACCACCATCAGTAGGCAATGAGGGTGAAGGCTCTTGACCAAGAACACAATAACACTGACAGCTGGAGCCGAAGCTAGAACCGACAACCCTAGTCGCCCAACACCACTGCCCTCCACATGTTTCTGACACAATTCTACATCATGATCAGGCCTGATTCCTCCAGCTTGATTGTTTATTTCATTCACCCGCCATTCCCTCCCTGCGGAAATTATCATTTATTTCATTGACCTTTTAGCTTTATATTTAGTTCAGTCTGAGCATTCGTGTCCAGATCACTATTTTGTTTCTCTGTTTCGTCTGTTATTTTATTATTTTTTTTAGTTCTTTTCACGGTTCCTGTTGGCCAGTGGAAAGAGAGGGTTTTGTGTCTTGTTCCTTCCCAGTGGAGTCCTCAGGGTTTTGGCTTAGTACCCGGGGAGGATCAGTTTTATCCCCGTAAGCTTGGCTCCAAGGAGGAGACCCGTTTAAAGTTCCTGCTCAAGTTTTGGTTTCAACGTCCTGTCTCTGTTACCCTCACCACTGAGCCTGCCCGTCTGCATCTGAGCCTGTTCTGCATCTGTGCATGTCCACCCGGTCACCGACTCTGAACCTGCCTGGGAGCTCTGAGGATTCCTGGAAGCCTGGATCCAACTGTTCCTGCTTGATATGTCTTCCCCTGACTTGGATCGGCTTCCTGCAAGCTCTCTGGGGCTGCAGCATTGGGGACATTCTTTGATGCACGCTACGCGGGTTGGAATCCCATCGGCCCCACGCGCCTCTCATGGACTGGTGACGGTGCCGGACAGGACTATCAGACCAGGTAAGTGACTCACACAATCACCTTCTGTCAGATGATCGTGGTTACTTACCTGTGTTTCTCTCCTAAACCAGAGTGTCTGTGATTGGGCGGTGCCCTGCCCCCCTTCCTGCAATCGCCGTGAGCCACAGCCCACGCTCCCCTTCTGTTTCTGTTTGTTTTATTTTAATAAACGTTTTGAACTTTCCTACTGGCTGTCTCACCTTGAATACTGGGTCCATCTGTCCCATCTCATGACATTCTAGTTATATTTCCTTTAATATCCTTCAAAACATCAAAATCCTTCTTTAAAAATGACTGTACGTGGCTTACACTCCTTGAGGATTTGACGACTGTATACTGAACAACTATTACGTCTGCAGTTTCCCCATGATTATGTAAGGTAGAACATAAAAGTCATGTATTCAATAAACATATTTATCACTCTCATGTAGCATTCAAACATTTAGAATGTTGAGGTTTCGTAGGCTGTAAGCCACAAGTATCATGACTTGCAAGATAGCTGTGAGTGTAATGAATTTATATAATACACAAGTTTCAGTTTTCTGACTGAATTACTAAGATGAGTCCAACATTTTTGCACCACATACAAAAAAAAAACAGACTTGCATAGTAAAAATCAGCTAACGTTACAAAATCTGCTCTGCTATTGTCTAAGTAAATAAGACATGTACGGACGGGAGACCTGGATCACGAAAGGAGAACAACTGACACCAGCACCCAAAACAAGAACCTTGTTCCTGATCAGCTTGACTTCCTGGATTCAGAGATTACTTTTGCAGCTGAGAGTAAAGGGCAATCACATTCCCTCAGATAATGAACCAACCTCTACTTATAAGCAGGACGTCTCCTATCTGCTGCCTTGACTATAAACGACAAATCTGGACGAATCCTATAGTTTAGCTATGACATACAGTTAAACAGCCCACTAACAGAATGAATCCAAACAGTTCAGGGATAACTGGGAATGTATTAATTATGAAAAGCTCCCCATATTTTCTATGGACAAACATTAAATAGAGTCAATCAGTTGATGAGTTGTTCAGCTTATTAGAGAAACTAACTCAACCTTCAACATGTAATCAAATATGTGATACTTTACCTCCAGATTGATTCCCAACTATTCCCAAATCCACAGCGTGGAAGCTGAACAAAAGCCGCCTGGACGAAGTATCCGGTCCACCTTAAGCTCTTTTAATTATTACCTTTAGCTCCTGCAATGAATAGCTGCTACTGTTTTGTTAGTCCTTCTTGGGTTAGCATTCAGCTTTTATTTAACTACAGCTAAAAGAAATGTTGGGTAGGTAGAGAGAGAGCGTGCCCTATCTGTGTGCATAATGCTCCACTTCCTCATCTGTCAGACCGAGCTCTGCTTTATGTGCTGATGTCAGACTGTAATAAGGAACAAATGCCAAACAATGACTCTAAGTCATAAAACTATCACCCAAAAACAAGTATAAAGTTAAAGGAGACTTTTGCCTAATTTTGTGAACTTGGTGAAGAAAACATTTGAATGTAAATCTGACAGATTCCTGAAATGTAATACACACAACCATAGGTGGGTAGTTCTTTCTAAACACTCCCATGAAAACAAATAGAACGGAGGACTGGTTAGACTGGTTTAGGTATATTGGAAAAAAAAAAAAAACCCACTTGTAGGCACATTGAGATCCTATACAGTTATGCGGACCTTATCTTAAAAAGTATAGTTACACTGTTATTACAACATAATATGTGATCACATAGACTGATAATAGAGACAGGCTGACAGTGGAAGAACATTTAAAGGTCCAAAAGTACCATAGTTTGATTATTTAAAAATAGGATTGCATTATTACTTAAACCATCAATTATATTCAGATATATAAATATTTGCTAAAATACATAATAAATTCTTATGTTGATTTTTTATGTTTTTTTTGTTTGTTTGCACATATTTGTATATAATTATTGGATAGGATTAAAACCTTTTTTTGGTAAATAAATGCATTTTTAACTATGTAAAGGACTGATGCTTAAATTAGTGATGCACTTCTTTGCTATATATAAAGGCTTACAGTCCTGAGCTGCATCACCATCAGTGTCACATGATCGAACAAATACTGCATGACCAATGCGCCCGCTCCTCCTCCTGATGTAAATGCAGAAAGTGAATGGAAATGAACATTGGTTTTTAATATCAGCCTGATTTTGTTTATCGGACCAATACAGATATGTTTCAACATAGACAACATCAATATAATTCCAAATATGTCTTCCATGCATAATTAAAATTAATAATAAACGTTAAAACAATCAATCCAATCACGCATGAAATTATTGCCTATTTCCATCTTAGTATTTATAATTACATATTTTTCTGTTTTCTGTGGGCTGTAGAGATCCTGTACATCCTTACATCCTTCCATGTACCATTTTAAACAATCTTTCTTTTTAATTTCTTATTCCTCTTATGACATTCAAACTTAACTCAAACTAAGCAATGACATTTATTTATAATGTAAAAATCTGACCTCTGATCCCCTTAAAAACAAGTTATATATTCCTTTTGCATTCAAATGATTATGAATTATTTATGTATCTATTTATCCAATGTATCAATTATTTTATTCATTTCAGTTTTATTTCATTTAATTTCATCTTTTTTTATTGCTATTTGTATTTTTGACTGAATTAGTAAGTTAAGCTTTTTTAAGATCTAATTTATGGAGATGTTGCTATAGTTTTAAAATCCATAACAAAACTCAGAGTAGCTAATATTATGCAACTTATACATCCAAAACAACCAGACTCGGGTAGTAAAAACATCTCCCATTGCAAAATCTGCTATGGTATTGTCAAAGCAAATAAAACATGTTTGGATGGGAAACGTAGACCACAAAAGGAGAAAAACAGAAACAACACAAAACAACAACAATTTAGCTTTTGATATTTGGACTTCCTGGATTCTCACATTTATTTTGTATTTTTATATTAATATTTAAGTGGACAACTTAAAAAAAAGTTAGTCCTTAGAACAAATTCCTAACCCTAGAAGCTAAATAATCTACACAGTAAAGTTTCTATGATAAGGAAAGATAGGTCGGATTGAAACTGAAACTAAAGGGGAGTCATATTCCCACAGGTAATAAAAAGATATGTGCTTATTAGCAGATATCTGCTGCTCTGATAATAGAGAAGCCATCAGGATAGTTCAGAAGGGTCAATAAATAGTTCAGATTAGGGCTGGGGCATTCATTCATTTTATTCTTTAATCATTTTTTTATGTTTATTAGGATTTCCTTTTTTTTTTTTTTGGGAAAATCAGGATTTGTTTTTTTTTCACCAAACCACTCCTCAGGGTTACATTGCAGAGAATAACAAATCTGATCATTTTTTTGTTCTCAGGCATGTGCTGATAAAATACCTGGCTGTGTAGAATCACTGACTGCAAACATCATTTTACAAGCATCTTTTACAGCTTGTATTTCATTGACTTTTTAATTGAGCTCACCTGCTAGAGCTGATGACTGAAATAAAAGCTGGCTTTTGAAAGCCATATTTCCATCATTTCTTTGAAAGTAATGTTGTCAATATTATTATGAAACTAAAGTAAAAAAAAACAATGATTCAGATTATGTAGGTAAACATTTTGGATTAGATATTTAATCCATTGTTCCCACCAGATGTTTAAATATAAATTATATAGTAAAACAGGCTATAAAGCGTGAATCTAAACTGCTAAGGGATAATTATAAGATCCTTTGTTTAGACAATTCATGACTGTCTCCATTCATCACCATAATGCCTCCTAGTTTCTAATTGATCCTCTTTGAGTAATACTGACCAATCTGATTTAGGGGCTGTAAACAGGGCTATTTTTTCTGGTAACTTCAGTGACAGATTATTTGAAATTTAAAAAAATGCAAAAAAACAAAAAAACAACAGAAGCAAATGTTTTTTCCATAGAAAACAGAATCCAAATTTAAAATATAAATGCTAATCTTCATACTCACATGGATTAATGTGTATAGAGCAATGTATCATGTATTTTCCCATTTTTTTGGTGCTAGAAGTACTGAATGAAGGCAGATATTATGATTAATGGCAGTAAATACATCTGATTGACTAATTATACGAACATAAAGGTTTTTATAAAGGTTTAAATAGTCATTAAATCAGAAAACACCAACTGAAGGCAAAAGAATAAGGCAAAAATATTTATAATAAAAGAGGCAATAAGTGAGTAATATCAAGCAGCTCTTTTAACAAATAGGAATATTATGAAAACATTTATCAATTTCAGTAATTCAGGTTAAAAAAATGAAATATTATTTAATTAAATTATGCAATAATTAAGCATTAATTTTTTATGATTTTTTTGGTTTTATCAAGTTTGGTTGCAATAATAACCAAACCTATCTTTTTGAACGGCTGTCTTTTATCTAAGCCCTTTGGTTTCGTTTGCAGTCCGTGATAAAAACATTTTCAAACTATGAAATTGTTGGTTTAATAAAAGAGCCTTTTGAAATTTTTATCTTTTAAAACAAAAAAACAAAATAGTTTTGCTGTCTAAGTGACCTCAATGTGCTTCAAATCCAGATTTTATTTGCACAGATCTGCAGGCTCCAACTATGAGCCAAAAACATTTTTTTGCAATAAGAATTTCTCTACAAGGAATTTTCAAGTTCCATGCTCAGTGAGCCAAATCCTCCTTTTTGCACAATTTGCTCAGATGTTAAACTTTACCTAACTGATCTTTTAAAATAATGAAACCCACCTTGAGTTTGGAGGGAGACATGGGGCTTGTCGGCTGGTTCATATCTAGGTTGATCACAGAGGACTGCTCAGAATGAGGGTCCCAGTCCGATCCTGGCCGGAAACTGCACTCTGTGGAAACGCTCATCTGGTCGTAGCTCCTGGTGGAGGAAGGCAGGAAGCAGGCAGAGAAAGGGAGGGGGCGGGGAACAGAGGATGTTATGTCACTTGCTTTTGTTTCTCCTCTCAGTGCTCATATTTATGTTTTTACCATGAAGTATGTGATTGATTTGTTGTGTCAGGGTTTATTTTTTCTTTTGCAACATGCACAGGGTAAAGTGTTCTGTTAAACAAGCAGCCGGACTGCGGGCCATCCCCAGAAGCTAATAAGAGTCAAAAACAGCCCCAGCTTAGTGTTCATGTGCTGACAGCTCTAACTGCTTTGTTTCCCTAACACCACAGTGTAAAGTTGACGACACACATACAGCTGAGGCAGAAGAGGGGCAACTCACTCCATTACTGAAAAATTAGAGCCCTGCAGAGGATTGTTGTACATTTGTGAGGTATTATGAGGTACTTCTGCTTTTACTATGACTTTTTTTTTTCTGCTTTGCAGCTAGAAAGCTGTGGCTTTGCAGATTGCCCAACTTAAACCACAGCAGTAAGTTCAGCTTATTTTAACATTAAAAAGCAGGATTTTGCATATTTTATAACCCTCAACTGTCAGCAGAAGAAATGCAACATTAATGAGACTACCTGTGATCTGATCTTTCTGACAAAATAAAATTATGTCCCCATGATGCAACTAGTTTTTAATGCCATATGGCACATAGATAATAATGAACCTGTACTTTTGCAAAGCAGTATTAGAAGTACAGTATCATATACAGCAAGATATCCATGATATACATCTTTGCAATACTGCTTTTCTCCACAAGGTGGCAGGGGATCAAAGCTTTTGGAAGCAAACACTCCTGACAACCTATAACAATACATATCTATGTTTCAATGGAGAACTCAAACATATCAAATAAACAGTTAAACTATAAAATGTATCTTGGTAGTTTCTCAGCATAAATAGAAACCAGTTAAAATAAAGTTTTTATACATCAGGAGTATTTTTTAGGGATTTCTGTCTATGTGGAGATGATTAAAGAATTGGAGAATTCAAATATATTTTCAGTTATTGTTTGATTACTCTGCTTAAATTTTAGAATCCTTTTCATGGGTTTATCACATGTATTCCAACAAATACAAAAGCATTTGTGGATGAATTTTGCAAATGTAAAAATGTTAGACTACCTTTATGGTGTACTTTTTGGCCACATGATGCTTTTTGATGCATTCCTTCTCTTAAGTGTCTTTTGTCCATGTTTGGCCTGTTCTAGTAGCAGCATATGTGATAGAAGACCTGAAGTTTTTATCAAATGATTATTTCATGTGTTTTTATTCATATAGCTTTAGTTCATAAAGGTTACAATCATGTAATTACTTTCAAACATTAGTTATCAAGAATACTTCAGGAGAGAATAAAAACTGTGCAGGACCTTTTTATTTGAAATAAGACATTGGGTAAGGAGGAGTGGTGATATAAGTCTGCAGGAAGGTTACACAAAAAAAAAAAAAAAACAAGAGGTACAGCATACTGATTCTCTTTCTTTTCTCTGTGATTGCACACCAGTTATATCTGGGCCTTGTTTTTCTTCTGTTTTCTAATCCAGTGATTTTACTAATCAGAGCGGGTTCTTTGATATTAGTCACCCCAACTGTAAGATATTCTAAAGCCATCGGACTTTAGACATAGAACTTTAAATTTCCTATGGTTCTTGAAGGTGACTCATCAGTCTCTAGTAAAGCAAGTATAAGCTAGTCAATTCTAATCAAATGCGGTCGTGAGAGCCTGAAAATTGCGCCAGTCTGGTCGTGCTCATACACGACTGTCACCGTGCTTCAGGTGATACAGTCCTGTTGTCCATGCCTTCAGCGCAAGGTCTGATTTAGCTGCCGGTTCTAATGTGATCTCTCTCACGGCTTCACTGCTGCCGTGGATGGATATGCCCTGCAGATATGCAGCTCCAACTTCTAGTGACTTATGTCCTAATTAAGTAAACATTTGCTTTCATAAAAAGACATGTGAAGAAGGGAGCATGCACAGAGTTGCAAATGAGCATAAAAGCAGGTTAAACCTATTAGCCTGCTTGCTCTCATGACTATGTACAACATAAGTTTATCAACTAAATGTCGTGAATATGCAAAAAAAAAAAAAATCTTACCAATTGAAATGTATTTTATCAAACCTGAAACAGATTGTAGGTGCAGCATCTGCATCAATATTTAGCATAGATGAAAATCAGGTGGAAACACATGTTAAACTGTCTGCAGTATTTTTGAAACAAAAAAATAATAATAATCTGCTGCATCACTGAATACTTTTATATCTGGATTTGTCTTTACAGTGCAACAGTGGTGTCTTCCACAGTTCAACTGTTGGATTCATCTGATAATTTCCAGGCCATTGGATTGCAGCATTGCAACCCCATGCATACCCCGAGTCAAAGTTACCTATTAAAAAGGAGCAATATCTTGTACCCAGTCTGTCTGTTGAAGGCTGAAATCATTAGAAAAGCACTCGGAGTGCAGACCTCTGCCGAGTAGTTAATTTCCCCTGACATATTGGGATTTCCACCTAAAGTTAATACCTGTATTCACAAAATCTTCCAGATGGTGATCTGAATCGTCACCAAAAGTCAATCAGTTGTTGTCAGTCACGGTGTGCACCTTCTCTGAATATTTCAGCAAATTCCATCCATAACTTTTCTAGCTACTTTGAAAACAAACAAACCGATGCAGATGAAAACATGACTTCCTCTGCAAAGGTGTTAAGATGTATAACAAACTGCAGCACTGATGAATAAGTTTTTCTCATTTTAAATTATTTCGGTGAATCGAATGAAAAATACAACAGTTTACTATGAATCTGTGGCAGATATTTCTAATCAGTGAAGTGTCTTTTCAGAAATTAACTAACTCATAAATGAAAGCGGAAACAAATGATCACAAAGAGGCACACACATCAACGGGCTAGGAAGGAGAAATAAGGATCAACAACAAAAACAGTGAATGGACAGATAAATAAATATAATAATAAAGGAAAAAGACAGCAAGAACTGAAAAAAGGCCAGACAAAAAAGAAAAGACGAATAAATGAACACACATATAAGACAAATGGACAAATCAACAAAAGCAACAGACAAAAAAACTGCAGAATGAACATTCTGAATAAATAAACAACAGATAAATGCTAGGACAGACGGACAGCAAATAAACGACTGAATAAGTAAATATATGAATGAACGGAACAGTGGAAAAATAGAAACAGAAACCGATCAAGTAATTGAATAAACTGCCAACTTTGTTCTAAAAAAACTCATAAATATTAACAATGTCAAATTTTGTACTGTTTTCCACTTTATTAGGTCATTAGGAACCCTGTGTAAAAAGTTTTATTTATCATTCCCCAAAATTCAGAAGATAAACTCTGATTTTGAGAGAAGTGAGTTTGTTGATTTTTCAGTCAAAAGTATTTTTCTCTTTCCTTTTAAATTTTAATACAACCAAAGATCCTAGACATTTGGCTAATGCAAAATTTTGAACTCCATTTTGTTTGAGAATGTGCATAAAAAATAGACCTCAACACACTATTTTGGTATAGTTCTGATCAATCATCTTGAATTAAAACTGGATCAATACATCCGCATGTTTGCAGAAGGGATTTAATAAGATTGGAGTATTGTTCTTATAAGAAAGGATCTGAAAGCTAATTTCAATGTATAGTACAACCTCCAAAGGAGTGTGAATGCAACTGACAAACTGAGAAATGTTCACTGACTGCTGAAAAAGCAGTCAATACTTTCCAGCAACTTCTGACCCCACCTTAGTCCACAGGCTTTGCTTTTAAGCCGTGGAAGAACTCTGCATGTATCTGAAGCTGAAAGCCGGACGTCTCTGTTAAAACAAAGCTTCCCTGTCAGGAGTTAATGTGACCTCCTCTTGTTTCTGTACAGAAGCTCCTGAAAATAACCTCCAGCATTTTCCTGCTGAAGGATGAGTTGTCTGAAATCTGTCAACCTCAGACTATCAGGCTGCAGGCACAGGCCGGCTCCAACACGCCTGAACCTCCTAAGTTTCATACAAAGCTCCACTGTTTCAGGGGATTTCTAATGAAGTATGTTATCACCACAAAAAAGAAAGGAAACTTATGTTTTTTTTTCACACATATATCTTCTACGGATTAGTGGTAATTCAAGTAGTGTTGAAGAGTTATGTAGCAATGTAAGCTCAGCGAACAACAAATGCTATTAGGTTTATAACAACTATATTTTGCTTGTTTTGTGATATAAACAAATGAGAAAAGAAATAAAGTCATGGCTTCACAAATTCTGCATTTTGCATTCAGTGGAAAATTGTTTCATCAAGCTAAGGCTATTCTAAACCCTTATATTTTCTAGGAGTTCCAAGTCCAAGATGATCCAATGACCAATAAATGGTCCACTGATCGCCACCTGGTGGTGAGTTGGATAGGTTGGAAGGGGAGGAGGCCCGGATGGACTCAGCAGGCCCAAGTGAGTAGTAAGGGTCCGATGGGAACGTCGGCCCTCAGTCAGGGACACATTCAACTCTCAGCATGGTTTTCATTCCAGATGTTGAAAAATGGAATAGCTTTATATCCTCTGCAGAGAGTGCAAAGGTTAATGGAAGTTTACCCAACTGGTCCACATGATCGACCTAGAGAAAGGCTTCAACTGTGTCCCCAGTGGTACCCTGTGGGGTGTGCTCCAAGAGTATGGAGTCAGTGGCCCTTTACTAGGGGCCATCTTATCTCTGCCCATGCAAAGCAGAAGTCTGGTCCGCAATGCCAGAATTAAGTCTAACTTATTTCTAGTGCATGTCGGAGTCCTGCATGGCTGCCCTGTGTCACCAGTCTTAATCATAATTTTCATGAAAGGGGCTTTGGTCTGGGGAACGGATTTTGTCTCTGCTTCTTGCAGATTATGTGGATCTACTGCAATATGTGCTAGTGTGGTTTGCACCCGTCAGCAAAGAGGCAAGGATTAGGATCAGCTACTTCAAGTCCGAGGCCATTGATCTCGACTGTAAAAGG